TGCACCCTTCTCGCACCCTCCTCAAAGGGTGCTAAAAAAGTGATGGACATCGAAGGCACCCTTTCTTAAGGGTGTTTTGGTAACACCCTACAGTTTTTTACGTGTACACCCTATTCTAAGGGTGCATGGTAAAGCACCTTTTTTGGAAGGTGCTGAATTAACACTTTTAGGGTGTCGTCCACGGGACAAGCTCATTTACACCCTCCTGGGTGTAAAAATTTTTACTGTGTAATAACACCAAGTCTGCCGGTACGAGACCATCGTTAATGAATATGGTTAAGAAGTGTATACCTAAGGGCTCGTTTTTTCGTATTTTGACACAATAATAATGAGATTTAACAGACAGTAATGCCAACGAATGAATTGGGGAAGTTATTAGAAGAAATGGAATGTCAATGAAAAGAAAGAAAAGTAGCTGAAAAAATAACAAGCCATGAGCAGGAACCTAACCTACGACCTTCGAATAACACGTTTGATGCTCTAACCACTGAGCTATCACAGTGACCTTCCCTCACCCCACTGTTTTCGGGTTTATATTTAAACTTAGAAGTAGGACTGTCGGTCGGCGCCATCTATAATCAAGCAGCGATTGTGAAACACTCTTTTATGCGCATGTGTGGTGTCACGTAGCACGTGAACTTATTACGAGCGGGTAGCTGACTAATAGTCTCTCGTATACAACCTAATGACACCACGTCTGCCAGTACGATACCCTCGTTAATGAATAAGGGAAAGAGGTGTATACTTAAGGGCTCATTTTTTCGTGTTTTGACACAATAGTAATGAGATCTAACGAGCATTAGGCCAAGGAATGTATGGGGGATGTTATTAGAACAAACGGAATGTCAATAAGAAGGAAAAAGATGGGTGAAAAAATGACCAGCCGTGAGCAGGAATCGAATCTACGACCTTCGAATAACGCGTTCGATGCTCTATCCACTGAGCTATCACAGCGGCCTTCCCTCACCCCACTTTTGTGTTTATACGTAAATTTAGAAGTAGGAGTGTCGGTCAGCGCCATCTATAAGTCAAGCAGCGTGTGTGAAACACTCTTTCATGCGCCTGTGTGGCGTCACGTTGCACGCGAACCTATTACGAGCGGGCAGCTGACTAATAGTCTTTGTATACAACCTAACGACACCAAGTCTCCCAGTACGAGACCCTCCTTAAAGAATAAGGGAAAAAAGTGTACACCTAAGGGCTCATTTTTTCGTGTTTTGACACAAGATTAATGAGATCGAACAGACAGTAATGCCAAGGAATATATAGGGGGAATTATAAAACAAATGGAATGTCAATAAGAAGAAAGAAAAGTGCGTAAAAATAACCAGTTGTGGGCAGAAATCAAACCTACGACCTTCTAATAACGCGTGCGATGCTTTAACCACTGAGCTATCACAGCAGCCTTTCCTCACCCCACTGTTTTGGGTGTATATGTAAATTTATCAGTAGGAGTGTCAGTCAGCGCCATCGATAAGCCAAGCAGCGAGTGTGAAACACTCTTTTATGCGCATGTGTGGCGTCACATAGCACGTCAACTTAATATGAGCGGGCAGCTGACTAAGAGTCCCTCGTATACAACCTAATGACACCAAGTCTGCCAGTACGAGACCCTCGTTAATGAATAAGGGAAAAAAGTGTAAACTTGAGGGCTCATTTTTCCGTGTTTTTACACAATAATAATGAGATCTAACAGACAGTAATTCCAAGGAATGTATAGGGAAAGTTATTAGAACTAATAGTGTGTCATAAAAGGAAAGATAAGTGGATGAAAAAAATAACCATCCGTGAGACATGATCGAAGCCTACGAACTGTCGAATAACGCGTTTGAATGCTCTAACCACCTGAGGCTATCACAGCAGCCTTTCCTCACTCGACCACCGCTTTTTGGGTTGTATATGTTAAACTTAGAAGTAAGAGTATCGGTCAGCGCTATCTATAAGCCAAGAGCCAGGTGAAAAGAACTCGCTTTAGTGCGCATGTGGGTGGCGTCACGTAGCACGTGAACCATAATTACGAGCGGGGCAGCTGACTAATAGTCCTTCGTATACAACCTAATGACACCAAGTCTGCCAGTACGAGACCTTTGTTAATAAATAAGGGAAAGAAGTGTATACTACGGACTCAATTTTTCATGTTTTGACACAATAATAATGAGATCTAACAGACAGTAATGCCCAGGCATGTATAGGGGAAGGTATTAGAACAAATGGAATGTCAATAAGAAGAAAGAAAAGTGGGTGAAAAAATAACCAGCCGTGAGCAGGAATCGAACCTACGACCTTCAAATAACGCGTTCGATGCTCTAACCACTGAGCTATCTCAGCGGCCTTTCCTCACCCCACTTTTTGGGGTTTATATGTAAACTTAGAAGTAGGAGTGTCAATCAGCGTCATCTATAAGCCAAGCAGCGAGTGTGAAACACTCTTTCATGCGCATGTGTTGCGTCACGTAGCACGTGAACTTAATATGAGCGGGCAGCTGACTAATAGTCCCTCGTATACAACCTAATGACACCAAGTCTGCCAGTACGAGACCTCGTTAACTGTGAATAAGGGAAAAAAGTGTATACCTAAGGGCTCGTTTTTTCGTGTTTTGACACAATAATATGAGATCTAACAGACAGTAATGCCAAGGAATGTATAGGGAAGTTATTAGAACAATTGAATGTCATAAGAAGAAAGAAAGTGGGTGAAAAAATAACCAGTGAGCAGGAATCAAGCCTACGACCTCGAATAACGCGGTTCGATGCTCTAACCACGAGCTATCACAGCGGCCTTCCTCACCCCACTTTTTGGGTTTTAATGTAAATTTAGAAGTAGAGTGTCGGTCAGCGCCATCTATAAGCCAAGCAGCGAGTGTGAAAAACTCTTTTATGCCATGTGTCGCGCACGTAGCACGGTGAACTTATTACGAGCGGGCAGGCTGACTAATAGTCCCTGTCGTATATCAGCCTAACTGCACACCTAAGTCTAGCCAGTACGAGACCCTCGTTAATGAATAAGCGAAAGAAGTGTACCTACTGAAGGGCTCGTTTTTTCGTTTTTAAACAATAATAATGAGATCTAACAACAGTAATGCCAAGGAATTGTATATGGGGAAGTTATTAGAACAAATGTAACTGTCAATAAGAAGAAAGAAAATGGGTGAAAAATAACCAGCCGTGAGCAGGTATCGCAACCTAACGACCTGTTCGAAATAACGCGATGCGAATGCTCTAAACCACTGCAGCTATCACAGCAGCCCGTTCCTCACCCCACTTTTTGGGTTGTATTATGTAAATTTAGAAGTGGAAGTGTCAGTCATGCGCACATCTATTAAGCCTAAGCAGAAAGTGTGAAACACTCTATTTCTGTGCAAGTGTTGGTTGGGCCTCACGTAGCAACGTGTAACTTAAGTTTCGAGTGCGAGCGGCTGACTCATAGTCTCTCGTATAACAACCTAATGACACTAAGTCTGCCAGTACTGAGACCCTTCGTTAATGAATAAGGAAATCAGTGTATACCTAAGGGCTCGTTTTTTTCGTGTTTGACACAAGTAATAATGAGATCTAAAAGACAGTAATGTCAAGGAATGTATAGGGGAAGTTATTAGAACAAATGGAATGTCAATAAAAAGAAAGAAACGTGGGTGAAAAAATAACCAGCCGTGAGCAGGAATCGAACCTACGACCTTCGAATAACGCGTTCGATGCTCTATCCACTGAGCGATCACAGCGGCCTTTCCTCACCCCACTTTTTTGGGTGTATATGTAAATTTAGAAGTAGGAGTGTCAGTCAGCACCATCTATAAACCAAGCAGAAAGTGTGAAACACACTTTTACGTGCATGTGTGGCCTCACGTAGCACGTGAACTTAATATGAGCGGGCAGCTGACTAATAGTCCCTCGTATACAACCAATGATACCATGTTTGCCAGTACGAGACACTCGTTAATGAATGAGGGGAAAAAGTGTATACCGAAGGGCTTGTTTATCGTATTTTGACAAATTATTATTGAGATCTAGCAGACAGTAATGCCAAGGATTGTATAGGGGAAGTTATTAGAACAATTGGAATGTCAATAGAAAGAAAGAAACGTGGGTGAAAAAATAACCAGCCGTGAGCAGGAATGAACCTACGACCTTTGAATAACACGTTCAATGCTCTAACCACTGAGCTATCACTGCGGCCTTCCCTCACCCCACTTTTTGGTTTATATGTAAATTTAGAAGTAGGAGTTTCGGACAGCGCTGTCTATAAGCCAAGCAGCGAGTGTGAAAAACTCTTTTATGCGCATGTGTCGCGTCACGTAGCACGTGAACTAATTACGAGCGGGCAGCTGAATAATAGTCCGTCGCATATAAGCTAATGACACCAAGTTCGCCAGTACGAGACCCTCGTTATTGAATAAGGGAAAGAAGTGTCTACCTAAGGGCTCGTTTTTCGTGTTTTCACACAATAATAATAGATCCAACAAACAGTAATGCCACGGAATGTATAGGGGAAGTTATTAGAACAAATGGAATGTCATAAGGAAGAAAGAAAAGTGGGTGAAAAAATAACCAGCCGTGAGCAGGAATCGAACCTACGACCTTCGAATAACGCGTTCGATGCTCTAACCACTGAGGTATTACAGCGGCCTTCCCTCACCCCACTTTTTTGGGTTTATATGTAAATTTAGAAGTAGGAGTGTCAGTCAGCGCCATCTATAAACCAAGCAGCGAGTGTGGAACACTCTTTCATGCGCATGTGTGGCGTCACGTAGCACGTGAACTTATTACGAGGGGGCAGCTGACTAATTGTCCCTCGTATACAACCTAATGACACCAAGTCTGCCAGTTCGAGGGTCTCGTTAATGAATAAGGGAAAAAAGTGTATACCCAAGGGCTCATTTTTTCCTGTTTTGACACAATAGTAATGAGATCTAACAAACAGTAATGCCAAGGAATGTATAGGGAAAGTTATTAGAACAAATGGAATGTCATCAGGAAGAAAAAAAAGTGGGTGAAAAAATAACAAGCCATGAGCAGGAATTGAACCTACGACCTTTGAATAACACGTTCAATGCTCTAACCACTGAGCTATCACTGCGGCCTTCCCTCACCCCACTTTTTTGGGTTTATATGTAAATTTAGAAGTAGGAGTGTCGGACAGCGCTATCTATAAGCCAAGCAGCGAGTGTGAAAAACTCTTTTATGCGCATGTGTCGCGTCATGTAGCACGTGAACTTATTACGAGCGGGCAGCTGACTAATAGTCCGTCGTATATAAGCTAATGACACCAAGTTCGCCAGTACGAGACCCTCGTTAATGAATAAGGGAAAGAAGTGTATACCTAAGGGCTCGTTTTTTCGTGTTTTCACACAATAATAATAAGATCTAACAAACAGTAATGCCAAGGAATGTATAGGGGAAGTTATTAGAACAAATGGAATGTCATAAGGAAGAAAGAAAAGTGGGTGAAAAAATAACCAGCCGTGAGCAGGAATCAAACCTACGATTTCCAAATAACGCGTTCGATGCTCTAACCACTGAGCTATCACAGCGGCCTTCCCTCACCCCACTTTTTTGGGTTTATATGTATATTTAGAAATAGGAGTGTTGGTCAGCGCCATTTATAAACCAAGCAGCGAGTGTGGAACACTCTTTCATGCGCATGTGTGGCGTCACGTAGCACGTGAACTTATTACGAGGGGGCAGCTGATTAATTGTCCCTCGTATACAACCTAATGACACCAAGCCTGCCAGTACGAGACCCTCGTTAATGAATAAGGGAAAGAAGTGTACACCTAAGGACTCGTTTTTTCGTGTTTTGACACAATAATATTGAGAATTAACACACAGTAATGCCAAAGAATGTATAGGTGAAGCTTTTACAACAAATGTAATGTATAAAGAGAAAGAAAAGTGTGTGAAAAAATAACCAGCCGTGAGCAGGAATCGAACATACGACCTTCCAGTAATGCATTCGATGCTCTAACCTCCGAGCTAACACACCAGCCTTCCCTCACCCCACTTTTTTGGGTTTATATGTAAACTTAGATGTAGGAGTGTCAGTCAGCACCATCTATAAACCAAGCAGCGAGTGTGGAACACTCTTTCATGCGCATGTGTGGCGTCACGTAGCACGTCAACATAATACGAGCGGGCGGCTGGCAATTAACCCTTGTATACAACCTAATGACACCAAGTCTGCCAGTTCGAGGGTCTCGTTAATGAATAAGGGAAAAAGTGTATACCCAAGGGCTCATTTTTTTCTGTTTTGACACAATAGTATGGAGATCTAACAAACAGTAAGGCCACGGAATGTTAGGGAAAGTATTAGAACAAATGGAATGTATCAGGAAGAAAAAAAAGTGGGTGAAAAAATAACAAAGCCATGAGCAGGCATTGAACCTACGACCTTTGAATAACACGTTCAATGCTTTAACCACTGAGCTATCACAGCAGCCTTTCCTCACCCCACTTTTTTGGGTGTATATGTAATTTTAGAAATAGGAGTGTCAGTCAGCGCCATCTATAAGCAAAGCAGAAAGTGTGAAACTCTCTTTTATGCGCATGTGTGGCGTCACGTAGCACGTGAACTTATTACGAGCGGGCAGCTGACTAATAGTCCGTCGTATATAGGCTAATGACACCAAGTTCGCCAGTACGAGACACTCGTTCATGAATAAGGGAAAGAAGTGTATACCTAAGGGCTCGTTTTTTCGTGTTTTGACACAATAATAATGAGATCTAACAAACAATGCCAAGGAATTTATAGGGGAAGTTATTAGAACAAATGGAATGTCATAAGGAACAAAGAAAAGTGGGTGAGAAATAACAAGCCACTAGCAGGAATTGAACCTACGACCTTCGAATAATACGTTCGATGCTCTAACCACTGAGATATCACTACGGCCTTCCCTCACCCCACTTTTTTGGGTTCATATGTAAATTTAGAAGTAGGAGTGTCAGTCAGCGCTATCTATAAGCCAAGCAGCGAGTGTGAAAAACTCTTTTATGCGCATGTGTCGTGTCACGTAGCACGTGAACTTATTACGAGCGGGCAGCTGACTAATAGTCCGTCGTATATAAGCTAATGACACCAAGTTCGCCAGTACGAGACCCTCGGTAATGAATAAGGGAAAGAAGTGTATACCTAAGGGCTCGTTTTTTCGTGTCTTGACACAATAATATTGAGATCTAACGAACAGTAATGCCAAGGAATGTATAGGGGAAGTTATTAGAACAAATGGAATGTCATAAGGAAGAAAGAAAAGTGGGTGAAAAATAACAAGCCATGAGCAGGAATTGAACCTACGACCTTCGAATAACACGTTCGATGCTCTAACCACTGAGATATCACTGCGGCCTTCCCTCACCCCACTTTTTTGGGTTTATATGTAAATTTAGAAGTAGGAGTGTCAGTCAGCGCTATCTATAAGCCAAGCAGCGAGTGTGAAAAACTATTTTATGCGCATGTGTCGCGTCACGTAGCACGTGAAGTTATTATGAGCGGGCAGCTGACTAATAGTCCGTCGTATATAAGCTAATGACACCAAGTTCGCCAGTACGAGACCCTCATTAATGAATAAGGGAAATAAGTGTATACCTAAACGCTCGTTTTTCGTCTCAACAATATTAATGAGATCTAACCGAGAGTAATGACAAGGAATGTATAGGGGAAGTTATTAAAACAAATGGATTGTCAATAAGAAGAAAGAAAAGTGGGTGAAAAAATAACCAGCCGTGAGCAGGAATCGAACCTACGAATTCCGAATAACGCGTTCGATGCTTTAACCACTGAGATATCACAGCGGCCTTCCCACACCCAACGTTTTTGCGTTTATATGTAAATTTAAAAATACGAATGTCGGTCAGCGCCATTTATAAACCAAGCAGCAAGTGTAACACACTATTTTATGGGCATGTGTGGCGTCACGTAGCACGTGAACTTATTACGAGCGGGCAGCTGACTAATAGTCCCTCGTATACAACCAATGATACCATGTTTGCCAGTACGAGACACTCGTTAATGAACAAGGAAAAGAAGTGTATACCGAAGGGCTTGTTTTTTGTGTTTTGACAGAATATTATTTAATTATTTATTTATTTATTTAATTAATACCTACTGCGGACACTAAGTGGTCCAAGCAGGAAGGGCACGTCACGCATACCACAGGCGTAATGACGTACTTCATACGGAAAACACACTTTGTTTTACACGCTAGAATACACTTCGCTATGGAACAACATCACACTTGGCTGTATATACTACAACAAACTTCAATTTGCAAAGCAACAACACACCCGGTTCTACAACACTACATTACACTATGTTCCACAACACAAGTAGTAACCTGCGCCAAACAACGACAATACATGGCATACCTCATACTTTACCAATTCGTACACATACGTTACAATGAATGAGGTTCGCATAACTTGTTCCAGTCCGACACTGTTCGCGGAAAAAAAGAATACATAAAGGCATCGGTTCTCGCAAAAAATGGGGTTAGCAAATTGGGATGATGATGTCGTGTGTTCCTTGTTGACAGAAAAGATAAGTAAGGCGATGAATCGATTGCGAGTTTTTGATTAAGTAATAATTGAAGGAAATCCAGCCGTTGTTCGCGTCTGCGGGATTCAAGGGTCTGAATGTCATTTGCAGACATCAGCGCGGAAGGTGAATCCGACGGTAAGTATTTTGAATATATAAACTGAACAGCTTTCCTTTGAACCCGCTCAAGTTTGTTAATATTAAGCTTTGTGTAAGGGTCCCATACAATGCTGGCGTAATCCAGTTTAGGTCGTATAAAAGAATAATAACGAAGAAGCTTTACATTGGAAGGACAGGTACGCAGTTTATGTCTTAGAAAACCAAGTTTCCGAAAGGCAGCTGAACATATGTTGTCTACATGCATGTTCCAAGACAAATTACTAGTTATAGTTAGGCCCAAATATTTGTAGCTTTTAACCTCTCTAAGAGTTGAAGACCCAAGCATGTACGTATTATTAAGTGGAACTTTCTTACGTGTCAAACGCATGCAGACACTCTTTTCTGCGTTAAGGATCATTTCACACTTATTGAGCCACAGATGAATATTATGAAGGTTTGAGTTAAGTTCATTTTGATCATCTAAAGAGTTAATATCTCGGAACAAAACACAATCGTCTGCAAATAATCTAGTTTGTACAGAAGAGGTGATGACATTTACAATATCATTTATGTATAAAAGAAAAAGCAATGGCCCTAGGACGCTTCCTTGGGGTACACCTGATGTGAGCTGTAGAGACTGCGAACGCTGGTCATTAATAGCAACAAACTGTTCACGGTTAGTTAGATAGTCAGCAATCCAGTTTACAAGGATTTCGGGAAGGCCAATACGTTTAAGTTTCAAGATCAATTTGTCGAGTGGAACCCTGTCGAATGCCTTACTGAAATCCAAAAATATTATGTCAGTTTGCCTATTGTTATCCAGGTCAAGTGCAAATGAGTGGATTATTGTAGCTAGTTGCGTCACTGTCGAATATCCCTTTCTAAAGCCGTGTTGAAAATTGGTCAGGATTGAATGTTGAGTCAAAAAATTACCAATTTGTGTAGAAATTATGTGTTCTATTATTTGCAGCAGGGTGAGGTCAAGGATATGGGTCGGTAATTTTGAGGCGACAAGCGATCACCTTTCTTAAACACAGGACTTATGCGTGCGGCTTTCCAGTCGCATGGTAGCTTTGATGACAACAATGAAACACGGAAGATTTCATGCAGGAATTTAACGAAATGTTCGGCATACCTTCTTAGGAACACATTTCGGAGATTATCAGGTGTACAGGACTTTTTAGAATTAAGATTCAGAACCATCGAAAAAACACCAGAATAAGACACGAAAGAGACTTAGCATGGGTCAAACACTCTATTGTTTGGAACATAAACACTAGAGCCGGAAAACACACTTTGAAAATACGCATTAAGATGATCAGCAATCTTTCTTTGATCGGTTACAATCACGCTATCAATTGCCATTTCAGTGAGAGGTTTCTTTCTGTCACCAATGTAGTTCCAGAATTTAGTCGGGTCAGTTTTTATGAAGTTGGGCAGCAGCGTTTTAAAAT